ACGCCAAACCCACCCGGATTTACCCAAAACCATGAAAATTTGACCCAAATTGAACCTCACCCTCCCCCACCCGTCCCCGCCGTACCCAGGAAGCCGAGCTGGGACCCGTCCACCATGAAATCCACACTGTACACCTCGAGTGGCTTCGCGTCCTGCAGGGACACCGCGGCATTGTCATTGTCATTGTCACTGTGTCACTGTCACTGTGAATGTCACTGTGTCACTGTCACTGTGTCACTGTCACTGTCATTGTGTCACTGTCACTGTCACCGTGTCACTGTGTCACTGTCACACTGTACACCTCGAGCGGCTTAGCGTCCTGTGGGGACACCGCGGCCACTGTCACCATCACTGTGTCACTGTCACCGTCACTGTGTCACTGTGTCACTGTCACTGTGTCACTGTCACTGTGTCACTGTCACTAGGTCACTGTCACTGTGTCACTGTCACTGTGTCACTGTGTCACTGTCCCTGTGTCACTGTCACTCTGTCACTGTGTCACTGTCACTGTGCCACTGTCCCTGTGTCACTATCACTGTTCACGGTCACTGTCACCGTCACCGTCACTGTCACTGTGTCACTATCACTGTGTCACTGTCACTGTCACGCTGTAAACCTCGAGCGGCTTTGTGTCCTGCAGGGACACCGCGGGCACTGTCACTGTCACCGTGACAGGGGTGGCACTGTCATTGTCACTGTGATGGGGGTGGCACTGTTGTCACCGGATGTGGGTGGCACTGGCATTGTCACCACAATGGGGGTGTCACCGTCACTGTCACCGGAAATGGATGGCATTGGCGCTGGCACCGCAATGGGGGTGGCAATGTCATTGTCACCATGACGGGGGTGGCACCATCACTGGCACCAGCAAGGGGTGGAAGGTTCAGTAGCCCCAGTAACCATTCACTAGCCCTGAGGTCAGTTCAGTAGCCCCACCCGGCTGACGAGGGACAGCATCTTGCCCTCCTCCTGGTAGCCCCAGTGACACTTTGGTAGCCCTGGGGGTGGTTTGGTAGCCCTATGGGAGGTGTTGGTGACCCGGTGACCCCAGTAACCATTCACTAGCCCCAGTAACAATTCACTAGCCCCAGCGGCCGTTTGGTAGCCCACCCGGCTGATGAGGGACAGCGTCTTGCTCTCCTCCTGGTAGAAGGTTTGCTAGCCCCAGGGGAGGTTTGGTAGCCCCAGGAAGGTTCAATGACCCCAGTGACCCCAGGGAAGGTTCACTAGCCCCATGGTCAGTTTGGTAGCCCCATGGTCAGTTTGGTAGCCCCAGGGTCAGTTCAGTAGCCCACCCGGCTGACGAGTGACAGCGTCTTGCTCTCCTCCTGGTAACCCCAGTGACAGTTTGCTAGCCCCAGGGAGGTTCGGTAGCCCTAGGGGTGGGTCAATGGCCCCAGGGAAGGTTCACTAGCCCCATGGTCAGTTTGGTAGCCCCATGGTCAGTTTGGTAGCCCCATGGTCAGTTTGGTAGCCCCAGCGGCCGTTCGGTAGCCCACCCGGCTGATGAGGGACAGCGTCTTGCTCTCCTCCTGGTAACCCCAGGGAAGGTTTGGTAGCCCCATGGTCAGTTTGGTAGCCCCAGGGTCAGTTTGGTAGCCCCAGGGAAGGTTCAATGACCCCATGGTCAGTTTGGTAGCCCCAGGGTCAGTTCAGTAGCCCACCCGGCTGACGAGGGACAGCGTCTTGCTCTCCTCCTGGTAGCCCCAGTGACAGTTTGGTAGCCTCAGGGAAGGTTCAATGACCCCATGGTCAGTTTGGTAGCCCCATGGTCAGTTTGGTAGCCCCAACAGCCATTCAGTAGCCCACCCGGCTGACGAGGGACAGCGTCTTGCTCTCCTCCTGGTAGCCCCAGTGACAGTTTGGTAGCCTCAGGGAAGGTTCAATGACCCCATGGTCAGTTTGGTAGCCCCATGGTCAGTTTGGTAGCCCCAACAGCCATTCAGTAGCCCACCCGGCTGACGAGGGACAGCGTCTTGCTCTCCTCCTGGTAGCCCCAGTGACAGTTTGGTAGCCTCAGGGAAGGTTCAATGACCCCATGGTCAGTTTGGTAGCCCCATGGTCAGTTTGGTAGCCCCAACAGCCATTCAGTAGCCCACCCGGCTGACGAGGGACAGCGTCTTGCTCTCCTCCTGGTAGCGCAGCAGCGAGATGCTCTTCATGAGGTCGGCGGCGAGGATGAAGCTCTTGACGCTGATCATCTGGTGGATGTAGAGCTGCGTGTCGATGAACGCCATCCCCGTCAGCTCGTTGTCCTTCAGGCTCCACAGGAAGATCTGAGACAGGGACACCCGGGGTGGCCACTGAAACATCCTTGGTGGCCACTGATGGCCCCTTGGTGGCCACAGACACCTCCCTTGGTGACCCCTTGGGTCACGAGAGTCAGTGAAACCAATGGTCAGTGGCCACCAACGTTGTCCTTCAGGCTCCACAGGAAGATCTAAGGGGACACCGTGGTGGCCACTGAAACATCCTTGGTGGCCACTGACACCACCCTTGGTGGCCATGGACACCCTTTGGTGGCCACTGATGATATTGATGTTATCAATATTCAGCTAATGCTGAGTGACCACCAAGATTTGCTCATTGACCTTCAGGCTCCACAGGAAGATCTGAGGGGACACTGGGGGTCAGTGGGGTGGCCACTGAAACCACTCTTGGTGGCCACTGACACCACTCTTGGTGGCACTGATGACCCCTTGGTGGCCATTGAAGCTTCCTTGGGTCATAAAACTCAGCAAAACACACACTGAGTGACCACCAATGTTGGTTTGTTGGCCCTCAAATCCACAGGAAGATCTGGGACAGGGACACCTGGGGTCACTGTGGGATGGCCACTGAAACCATGCTTGGTGGCCACTGAAACCATGCTTGGTGGCCACTGAAACCACCCTTGGTGGCCACGGACACCTCCCTTGGTGACCCCTTGGGTCATAAAACTGAGCAAAACCAACACTGAGTGACCACTAAGATTGGTTTGTTGGCCCCCAGACTCCACAGGAAGATCTGGGACAGGGACACCTGGGGTCACCATGGAGATCACTGACCCTGTGGTGGCCATTGATGCTCCCATGGTGGCCACTGACACTTCGCTTGGTGGCCCCTTGCATCATGAAACTGAGCCCAGCCAATGTTCAGTGACCACCAACATCGTCCTTCAGGCTCCACAGGAAGATCTGGGATAGGGACACCTGGGGTCACCACAGGGTGGCCACTGACACCACCCTTGGTGGCCACTGATGACCCCTTGGTGACCATGGACTCCTCTTTGGGTCATAAAACTGAGCCCAACCAATGCTGAGTGGCCACCAAGATTTGCTCATTGGCCCCCAGGCTCCACAGGAAGATCTGGGACAGGGGACAGGGACACCCTGGGGTCACCGTGGAGGTCACTGACCCCAAGGCGCCAAGCGATGTCCCTTGGTGGCCATGCACACCTCCCTTGGTGGCCCTCTGGATGATGAAACTGAGCCCAACCCATGCTGAGTGAGAACCAAGATTTGCTCATTGTCCTTGAGGGTCCATGGGAGGATCTGACACAAAGGACAGGGACACCTTGAGGGCACCACAGCTGTGCCCAGGTGTGTCCCAGGTGTATCCCAGATGTGCACAATGATTCCCCAGCTGTACCCAGCTGTGCCCAGGTGTGTCCCAGGTATGCCCAGGTGTGTCCCAGGTGCTCCCCAGGTATGCCCAGGTGTTCCCCACGTGTCCCCAGGTACCTTTTGCCCGATGGCAGACACCAGGTATCCATGGCAGTGGCACAGCGCTGTCACAGGTGTGTGCCCAGGTATGTCCCAGGTGCCCCCAGGTGTTCCCCAGCTGTACCTAGCTGTACCCAGGTGTGTCCCAGGTATGCCCAGGTGTTCCTCAGGTGTTCCCCAGGTATCTTTTGCCCAATTGCAGATACCAGGTATCTGTGGCAGCGGCACAGCACCATTACAGGTGTGTACAATAATTCGCCAGCTGTACCCAGGTGTGCCCAGGTGTGTCCCTGGTGTACCCAGGTGTATCCAATGATTCCCCAGCTGCACCCAGGTGGGCCCAGGTGTGCCCAGGTGTGTCCCAGGTGTATCCCCGGTGTGCCCAGGTGCTCCCAGGTGTTCCCCAGGTGTCCCCAGGTAACTTTTCCTGATGGCAGACATCAGGTACCCATGGCAGTGGCACAGCGCCGTCACCAATGTGTACCCAGGTGTATCCAATGATTCCCAGGGGTGCCCAGGTGTGTCCCAGCTGTACCCAGGTGCACCCAGGTGTGTACAATGATTCCCCAGCTGTACCCAGGTGTGCCCAGATGTGCCCAGGTGCCCCCAGGTGTGTGCCCAGGTGTTCCCAGGTACCTTTTGTCCAATCGCAGACACCAGGTACCCGTGGCAGTGGCAAATGCCATCACAGGTGTGTACAATGATTCCCTAGGTGTATCCAATGATTCCGCAGGTGTTCCCCAGGTGTGCCCAGGTACCTTTTGTCCAATTGCAGACACCAGGTATCCGTGGCAGTGGCACAGTGCCGTCACCGGTGGGTGCCCAAGTGTGTACAATGATTCCCCAGGTGTACCCAGGTGTATCCCAGGTGTATCCCAGGTGCCCCCAGGTGTATCCAATGATTCCCCAGGTGCCCCCACGTGTACCCAGGTGTGCCCAGCTGTACCCAGGTGTGTACAATGATTCCCCAGCTGTACCCAGGTGTGCCCAGGGATGCCCAGGTGTATCCCAGGTGTCCCCAGGTACCTTTTGCCCGATGGCCAACACCAGGTATCCATGGCAGTGGCACAGTGCCGTCATGGGTGTGCCCAGGTGTACCCAGGTGTGTACAATGATTCCCCAGCTGTACCCAGGTGTGCCCAGGTGTGCCCAGGTATTCCCCAGGTGTTCCCCAGGTATCTTTTGCCCGATGGCAGACACCAGGTATCCGTGGCAGTGGCACAGCGCCATCACCGGTGTGCCCCAGGTGTGTTCCAGGCATGCCAGGTGTGTACAATGATTCCCCAGGTGTGTCCCAGGTGTGCCCAGGTGTATCCCAGGTGCTCCCAGGTATCCCCCAGGTGTCCCCGAGGTGTTCCCCAGGTATATTTTGCCCAATGGCAGACACCAGGTATCCGTGGCAGTGGCACAGTGCCGTCATGGGTGTGCCCCAGGTGTGTCCAATGATTCCCCAGGTGTGTCCCAGGTGTGCCCAGGTGCCCCCAGGTGTATCCCAGGTATATCCAATGATTCCCCAGCTGTACCCAGGTGTTCCCCAGGTGTCCCCAGGTACCTTTTGCCCAATGGCAGACACCAGGTATCCGTGGCAGTGGCACAACGCCGTCACCGGCCCCTTCTGCTCCTTCTCGTAGAGCACCTTGAATTTGTTCTTGGTCAGGGGCTGTCCTGGCTCAGGGACCACCTCGATCACATCCAGGATCAGGATCTGGGGACAGGTGAGACAGGTGGGACAGGTGAGTGACCGACAGGTGTGTCACTGTCACCTGGCAGGTGTATCACTGTCACCTGGCTCAGGTAACACCTCGATCACGTCCAGGATCAGGATCTGGGGGGGACAGGACAGGTGGGACAGCTGAGTGACCGACAGTGACCAACAGCGACCGACAGGTGTGTCACTGTCACCTGGCTCAGGTAACACCTTGATCACATCCAGGATCAGGTGCTCTCAGGTGTATCCCAGCTGTTCCCAGCTGTGTCCCCAGGTGTGTCCCCAGGTGTATCTCAGGTGTCTCCAGGTGCCTCAGGTGTATTCCAGGTGTGTCCAGGTGTATCTCAGGTGTCCCCAGCTGTGCCCAGATGTGTCCCAGGTGTCCCCAGCTGTCCCCAGGTGTGTCCCAGGTGTATTGCAGGTGTGTCCCCAAGTGTATCTCAGGTGCCCCCAAGTGTCCCAAGTTGTATTTCAGGTATCCCCAAGTGTATTTCGGGTATCCCCAGGTGCATCCCAGGTGTCCCCAGGTGTGTCCCAGGTGTCCCCAACTGTCCCCAGTTGTGCCCAGGTGTATCCCAGGTGTGTCCCAGGTGTGTGCCAGATGTCCCCCGGTGTGCCCAGATGTCCCCAGGTGCCCCCAGGTGTATGCCAGGTGTATCCTAGCTGTCCCCAGCTGTCCCCCCGTACCCTGCCACGACAGGTGACCTCCTCGCCCTGCATCAGGCAGGTGCCCACGGCCACGTAGCCCTTGAGGCCGGACACGGTTTCCTCGGAGCGCAGCGACACCGTCTTCATGCAGGTGACGTGTTCCCACTCCTCCAGGGCAATCCTGCACAGGTGAGACAGACAGGTGAGAACAGGTGAGGGACAGGTGAGAACAGGTGAGGGACAGGGACAGGTGAGACAGGTGAGGGACAGAGGGGCACCCTAGGGACACGCCCCTTCATGCAGGTGACGTGTTCCCACTCCTCCAGGGCGATCCTGCACAGGTGAGACAGGTGAGGGACAGGTGAGGGACAGGTGAGGGACAGGGACAGGTGGGACAGGTGAGGACAGGTGAGACAGGTGAGGGACATTGGGGACAGGTGAAGGGACAGGGACAGGTGAGGGACAGGTAAGAACAGGTGAGACGGGTGGGGACAGGTGAGGGACAGGTGAGGGACAGGGAAAGGGACAGGTGAGGGACAGGTGAGGGACAGGTGAGGGACAGGGAAAGGGACAGGTGAGGGACAGGTGTGGGACAGGTGTGGGACAGGTGAGGGACAGGTGGGGACAGTGGGGCACCCCAGGGACACGCCCCTTCATGCAGGTGACATGTTCCCACTCCTCCAGGGCGATCCTGGACAGGTGAGGACAGGAGAGGGACAGGTGAGGGACAGGTAAGGGACAGTGGGGACAGCTGAGGGACAGTGGGGACAGGTGGGGACACGTGAGACAGGTGGGGACAGGTGAGAACAGGTGAGAAGTGACACAATATTTTTGGGATATTTTGGGATGTTTTAGGGTCTCACCTGGTGTTGGGGATGGCCTCCCAGCTGAGTGGGGATTTTGGGATATTTTGGGATATTTTGGGGCTATTTTAGGTTATTTTAGGTCTCACCTGGTGTTGGGGATGGCCTCCCAGCTGAGCGGAGATTTTGGGATATTTTGGGATATTTTTTTTATATTTTAGGAAATTTTAGGATATTCTGGGATATTCTGGGATATTTTGGGTTATTTTTGGGACATTTCAGTCTCACCTGGTGTTGGGGATGGCCTCCCAGCTGAGCGGAGATTTTGGGATATTTTGGGTATTTGGGGATATTTTTTTGATATTTTAGGATATTTTAGGATATTCTGGGATATTCTGGGATATTTTGGGTTATTTTTGGGACATTTCAGTCTCACCTGGTGTTGGGGATGGCCTCCCAGCTGACAGGTGAGATGAGCTGGATGCTGAACGCCTCCTGCTGGGGGGGGACGTAGCGCTCGTCTG